ATGTGTGCCGGTTTTCCCAAACCCAAGCAAGGACTTAGTTTGCTGCTGTAAAGCTTAACTGCACTGCTAAAACCATTCCTTTTCTGTTTCTAGAGGATCTTATGGAGGCCAAGGCTGCTGCTGTGACCAGCTCTCAGAAGCCAGGAGAGGGTCTGTTGGCTGGATCAAGAGAAGAGCTTAACCGTGTTCAAAGTGGTGGAGTTTCCAGTGAACCTCTGGAGATGGAGCAGCTGCTCCTGAAGCTGGAGCATGCAGCTGATATCCATGGCAGCCAGGCTGGTGAACCAAGACCCCAGATGGGACAGGAAAGTGATGGATGGTGTGTGATGAACTCGGCAGGAGCCCCTGATGGTGTGTGTAAGGATAGAAGTGAGGAACAGCCAGGTCAGGAGAGTAGGGACTTGGACCATGAAGACTGGGAAGTTGTTTCTGAGCATCTGGCTTGGGGGGAGGCTGGCAAGAATGGCAGAATGGAAGAAGCAGGCAGCAAGGAATGGGAACAAGGAGACTGCCCTGATGGGGATTTGAAAGCCAAGCGAGTTGCAGCTGTGCCCCCCATGTTTCAAAACATCCATGTGACTTTCCGTGTGCACTACATCACTCACTCGGCTGCTCAGCTCGTTGGTGTTACTGGGGACCATGAGTGTCTTGGCCAGTGGCACAGCTATGTTCCCCTCAAGCATGACAAGGATGGCTTCTGGTCTGAATCCGTCAGTCTGCCAGTAGACACCAGAGTTGAGTGGAAATTTATCTTGGTGGAGAATGGGAAGGTGAGACGCTGGGAAGAATGCGGTAACAGAACCCTAATGACTGAACATGAGGATAGAGTTGTTCATCAGTGGTGGGGACACCATTAATGGGATTTTTGAAGCTGCTTATTTAATGGCAAACCTGTTTAGATTAATCGCAGAGCCCCTAAACTTCACCCTGTCTGCAGTAGGAGACCTTCTCAAGTGCAGAGCTCTGTAAATCCTGTCTCAAACCTGGTTCAACTGCACAAGCAGCAGATCTTTTGCCACCCCCTTTAGGAAATGGTTTGGCAACCTGAAAAATGAACCTCAAGAGTGTTCTGAAGATGTGCAAGGTAGGCTACAAAGGAATGAGCAGAGTTCCAAGCAGATGCCTGGCTAGGTAAATCTGGCCTCTGGACTGGAGTTGGTGTTGCTTTGCGTGGGGCTATGGGATGGATGCATCTCTGCACCGACTGCTTAGGGCCTTTAAGGCATACTAGGAAGTGTGGTTACCTACACTGTAATAGGAACTTAAGTGTTTTAACTTATGTAATGTATCAAGTAAACAATAAATGCTTTAAGACTGATGGTCTGTTACAACTTAACCAGTGAACTGACTCATTTTATTAACTTCGATAGAAGTGAGTTACTTGACCTGAAATTTTAGTGCTAAATAATTCCTGAAGAGTGGCTGGAGTAATAAAGTTACTGGAGCAACAAAGATTTAAGCCTAGAGTACTTTAGTCTCTACTCCCTATTCTCCAGGAAGCACCTCTGCTCAAATGCTTGGCAGCTGGGTCCCTTTTCGTCAGATTATCCTGCTGGGAGGAGAGCAAAGGTCAGGAAGGACTGTCCTGGGCTTAATGAATTACTTTGTCAGGGTGGGAGCAGGCTTTAAAAAAACCTGGACTGCTCTGATGGCTAGGGAATAGGATTCTTTCTGAAATAAAGTTAGATGGCATATTCTGCTTACCTAAAACAATACCGCAGTATTGTTAGCAACTAGTCAGCTTAAACTCATGGGTTTTTTTCCAAGATAAGGCTTTTCAACACAAATTTATTTTAAGTTGTGGCCTTTTAGTAAGCTAGATAATGTAGAATACTTCCAGCTTCTATCAGGTAATATTTTTATAGGGCAGAAAGCTGCTCTACTTGTCAGTTCTCTGTATTTTTTGTTACAAATATATGATGCCACTTAAGCAAGCTCTTCTTTCCATAATGAGGAACCTAGGTCTAGCTTGCACTCCACTTCCCTGGAGTGAATTTGGTTTGAAGAACGTAGTTCTGTAGGAGTTCTGGAAATGCATAAATTAGCATGCTGGTTTGGAACATTTAGTTCAAAAGCATGTTGCCGATCCAATTGCCTCTGCTAAGTCTTTCCTGCTTTGCATGGTGGAGGAGTCTGAACATGTGAAATAGAAACTGTTTTGGTGATGGACTGGAAGATGAGCTTCAGCAGCTTACCTCCTGCATCTAATGGTTAATGGGCATCCAGTTGGTGGGATAATACTAGAGCTGCTGTGAAGAACAATTGTCTGGAATGCTGTTACTGGGACTTCAGCACCAGCTGTTTCATTGAACATATACACTGGGAGCAGGCTGGGCTGCCTGCTCACAAAGGCATAGCCACAAAATCATAGAATGGTCAGGATTGGAAAGGACCTTAAGATCAGCGAGTTCCAACCCTAGCTGAAGAAAATCTGGATCAGGCATTGAAGGGAGGCTGAAAGGGCAAGAGACCAAAGCAAGTGAACAAGTGCATTGGCAAGTTGGAGGTTTTGTGTTTTCATGTAAAAGAAGCCCCTCCCAGCTGTTGCTACCTGACAGAGCAAGTTGTTCTGTGGCTCAGTTCTGCAGAAGTAACTTCTGCTCTCTGGTTGCCTTGAGCAACCTGAAGATTTGGGAGAATAAATCTTATTTCCATCAAGGGATCTTTTATAGAAGAGAACAAGGTAGGAATTGTGGGTGGGAGCTGACCTCAAGACTAACTAAGCTTTCTGTTAACTGTTTGTCCAGGATGAGAAGTACCCCTGTAACTACTGTGGGAGAAGTACTGCAGGTCTGGGAGGAAGGTGGTATCATTTCTGTCCAGTAGCTCAAGTAACTCAAAAGGGAGAGGATGGAGCTGACTATTCAGTAGGTGGTTGATGCTGCTTCAGTGGTCTTAAATGTATCAGCATGTGCACATACTAGTCCTCAACTCTCTCAACTGGAAGCTTACTGTATAAACTTTAAAGGAAAACAGGACATAGTTAGCACACCTTGGGTTAAAAAATAAATATTAAGATGAGGCTCATTTTTAGGGACTACTGTTTCACTGTAAGAAATATTTCTACTGTTTTATTATGACTGTGCTTACTGTGTATAAACAGAAAGCTCTTAAATCCTATCCATATGCACCACCAGAGAGCACAGAGAATGTGTATGTGGGTTTCAGTCAGTAACTTACAGCTGTAATTGAACAGGTAAAATTGTGCTGGAAGTGATGCCTATAATGGCAATTGCATTTTTTTATAACAAATTTAAGTGAACAATATACCTAAGATTCATAGAAACATAGAATGGTTTGGGTTGGAAAGGACCTTAAGATCATCCAGTTCCAACCCCCCTGCCATGGGCAGGGATGCCTAACCCTAGAGCGTATCGCCCAAGGCTCTGTCGAGCCTGGCCTCGAACACTGCCAGGGATGGAGCATTCACAACTTCCTTGGGCAACCCATTCCAGTGCCTCACCACCCTCACAACAAAGAACTTCTTCCTTCTATCTAACCTGAACTTCCCCTGTTTAAGTTTGATCCCATTGCCCCTTGTCCTATCGCTACAGTCCCTGATGAATAGCCCTGCTCCAGCACTCTTGCAGGCCCCTTCAGGTACTGGAAGGCTGCTCTGAGGTCTCCACACAGGTTCTCTTATCCAGGCTGAACAGCCTCATCTTTCTCAGACGTACAGCTGAAATAGCTGTAATAGAAGTTGATTTTTCAAGTCAAAGCTAAACATGTTCTTTCAAGCTGTTCACAATTTCTTTTCCCATTAATGCAAGCTGTTCAAACAGTAAGATGTGTTAATAGGCATTTGTCCAACAGTCACAGCCATTTGAGTGTATTTATACATACACTGGAGGCTTGTCGGAGGAGATTAACTGTGGTATTAGACTAAGATATTCACATCTGAACCCAGGACAACTAGAAAGCCACTTAACCTGAACTAGAATAGATTCTCTAATGCAATGATGAACATGCTTCAAACAGACTAACCCTGAGAGGTCTCCCAAACAGAAAACTTTTTTTTTTTTTAAGTTAAACACCCTGCACTTTGATCCCACAGGCAAGGCATGATTGCATCACCTTGCTGAATGGTCGAGCAAGGTTTCTGCACAGACCTGCATTGCGCTTTTGCTCTGAATTATTATGCCATTGACATCACTGCTGGCCCAGCAGGGTTGATGCTATAAAAATTAAATGTTATTTTGTATTATTAGAGGAGTTGATTAGTATTTTCTTCAAGTTTACAAAGCTGATTCCTCATCATTGGAGAATCTGTTCACTTAAGTGTGAAGTTAGATTTAAGTAAAGTTGCTTTGCTGCATAAAAACGATTCTGCTAGATGGGGCTGTTATCTGGCTAATCCAATTTCCTGGCTATGAGACTGGTGAAGCTACAAGTGAGAAACAAGTTCTTGTTGACATTCCTATGTGGATGTAACAGCCTAGCAGCCAGCGTCTCAGGATATCAAAGAGCAAGTAATAAACTGTCTCACAAACTGGCAAAGCCAGAAACTGTAAGCAAGGAGCTACCTTTTAAGTTCACCTGCTCATATTGCCATAATAAACTTTTGACACATTGGACATTTGACTACTTTTAGGAAAAATGCCCTCTACTCCTATTTATGAAGTAGTTTGGTGTACAAATGCTAAATGCTGTATGTGGATGATAAGCTTGAGCTGATGGCCTGAGTCTGCAACTACTGGGCATAAACCAGTTTCAAGTCACACAGAGAAATCTTGCAATGATGTAGCTTGTTTGCTTCTTATTCATTCAGCAGGTACCTCTGCAAAAACCATTTCCACCCCACATTCTCTCTGGGAGTTAGACTTACTGTTTGGAGCCTCTCCACATGATCCATTCAAAAATATTAGCCTGATATTAGGTTTTCTCTCTAGGGGGGTGGTTGCCATCTGTGGTGTCCTGCTGTGGTCAAGATTTGCCTAACGGTCTTCCTGTGTCATCCACCTGTATTGCATGGAATAACAAAGTGCTATTTATGCTGCTGTTCAAGTCCAGGATGCCTAGAGCTGCTCTAGGGCCCATGAGTTTCTGACCCTCTTGCCTCCCCAGGGCCTGGTGCTGGTGGCAGGGAGGAAGCCCAGACATGTTCTCAACTTCACTGGATTCCAGCACAAGGATGCTAAGCTGCCTTTTTGCTTGGTGGACCTCCCTTCTGGCTATTTGTACTGCTCTACCTGCTCCCTTCTGGTCTCACAGAGCTGCAGTCTTTTGGAACTCTTTTAGTCTGGCTCCTTGAACACTCTCCTTAAATGACAGTGCACTTTTCATTGACCTTTTCCAACCTGTAGGACTACAGAGTGAATGTACATTCCCATCCTCTATACCTCACGAAAACTTCAGTAGATCTGTCAAATACGTATGAGTCCCAACTGTGCTACACAAACCAGCTAAGCTGATCGTTTCATTTTCAATGCCATCAGTTCCTAGAAAAGGAGAGCTAACTTAGTCAAAATGTTAGTTAAGTTTGCAATACTGTTGCAAAAAATGACAGAATCACTGAATAAAAAATAAAGAAAATTACCTGAATTAAACCGAAATACTACTGACAATACCTGAGGACAGCTTAGGAACAACTCACTAATCTCTTCTGACACAAGACGACCCTAAACTGAAAAAACCTCAGAGATTTGATCCACTCTGAATATAGTTCTGTAGCTTTAAAGTCAAAAAACCCAAGCTTTTATCTGCATGGCTTGTGCTCATGAAGCTACATTTGCTGATCCATAGCTACAAAACATTTGGCTTGGACAAAATCACTGGGTAAGACCCTTGAATTCAAGCATGGCATTCCATGCTGCCACAAATCCAAGCCAGTAAGTGCTTTTCAGAAAGCAGATAATGAGGAAAACCACTAATGCCAGTGAAGCTGTACCACTGGCACCTCCTGGTGACCCTGGGGTGCTGGGGTACAGGTTTATTGCAGGACATCTTGCCCTTGTTTGTTAATACTGTATATAGCAAGGACTCCCTCTGCTACCTGGTCAGCAGCTTCTGTGGACCAAATTCTCAGACAGCCTTGCTGGACTCTGAAGGGGCAGTACTATTAATCTGCTCTTCACAACCAGTCCCCAGAAAAAAATCCAATAACAAATCCTGGAAAAGTAGTCAGTTTGGGTCCTTGTTCAAAGTTCTTCCTCCCTTGCCTATTTTTAAACAACTATCTTGCTCCCTGAGACACTAATGAGGCTTTAAACATCAATCCGATACTTAGTGATCCTGTTCATCTTCTTACTTTGGAATTGTTTTTAGCATTGGATAGTCTTTTAAGTGCAGTAAGTCATTTGGCCACTGCTGCAAAATCCTCAAATGTCAAACACATAGGAGGCTTTAAAATCAATTCACATATGCCACAGGTTCTCAACATGCCCTCCTGTTTATTACTAATCTCACACTAGGAATGGCCTTTGAATACATCATTCTTAGGCACTCATATTAAGGGAAGGTTGTCTGTATCGGTGAGTCAACTCAACAGCATTTTGAAGACCAATGAAAAGTAATATGCCCACTATATTAGCAAACTTCTTAATAAGGATGGTGGAGCATGGTATTTAAGTCATACTAGGCTGTTATTAAAAAAAAAAAGCCCGTATAGGTTCAAAATGCATTTTTTTATGGCTGAACTTCAACTTTTTTAGTTTTTATAGAGGGATAATTGAGGAAGGACAAAAAGTCCCAAACTAGGAACACACACCCCTTCAGCTCTAAATCAAAATACAAGTGCTTACAAAGCAAAGCCCAAGGTAGACTGTGTACTCTCTATTTGTACTACACTTGAGGAGTCCATTCTGCTCAAAGGAGTCATGGCACAGGATGAAATCCGTGCAGTCTTGCAGCTGTAGGTATGTGGTTCAACACTTTACCTCAACGTTTACAGGAGCCACAGGCAGATTTCCTGCTTTTATTGAAACTACTTGGCAGTTACGGGGTATCCAGATGAACTAGAATTTTTTGAAGTAGTAACAAGAAGTATGGAAGGAAGGGAAACCAATTTATTTTAGAAAGAAGCAGCCCAACAGACCATTTTCAAACTAACTTTGTAAACAACAGGACCTGAAATGGTGTGCAAGATCCAGAATGCGTGGAAGAACTACTTAAAGCAATCAGCAGTGCCCTGTCGCCAGTGTCACTCTCAGCACGCAGGCATTGAAAATGTGTGCTTAGTGAATGAGTCTGTATTTTCATGTGCTTCTACTCCTCTGTATGTCTCACCCATTTCAAAGTTAAAAACTGTGTCATGGTTCCAGGCCAGAGTGACAAAACTGTAAGACCTTTTATTATTAATCTTTTAAAAATATAACTTAAACACAGTGTACATACATGAAAGTAATCCCTAACGTACATGGCGTCTTCCCTTTGATAGCTGTTTCTCCTTTTCCTTTGCTTTCTCTGTCTTCACTTCATGAGTTCTGATCATTGGTGACATGGCTGAAAATAGCAGCAAGAACAGATTACCTGACCACCACCTTATGTTAGAATGATTGAGGCCTCAGGTGCAGACACCTGAAGCTTTCCAGTATCCTCTCAAATGTTACACTGCACTTACTAAGCCCTCACAAATGCAGCTTTAGTTTGTAATTCTTTATATGCACGGCCTTAACAGAAAAGATAAAGCTGGTTCTAAACAGGCTCCACCTCGTCTGCTTTGTGAAGCCAAAGCAGCAAATGCTGGAGTAGAGGTGAACTACCATTGATTTCAGAATTTCTCTTATTGGATGGTGTGAAATTAATACTTAATTAAATTATTAAATCAAATTATTAATTATCAACAATTGTAGACTTAAATAATTTAATTAAATTAGTAGTTCATGGAAACAAATTTACTTTTATATGGTAACTCTTGATACGTTACAGATAGGAATATATACTATTATGTGGATATAAAACCAGGCAAACTGAATATGTTAATGGATGGCAAAGAATAAAAATGAGAATGCTTACCTTACACTTTAAATGAACAATTTGATTAGTTTTCCTTAAATCAGATCACTTGTATGTCCCTGACACATGTGCCCTGTATGATGTGAGAAATAATAATTTCCCAAATCTATGCAGCAAGACTTAAAGGGCCAAAAGGGAAGCAAGTGGAATGTGAAATAAGAAAAAGTGCAGAAAAAAGAAATTCCATCTCACTTGGCCTCCTACCATCATGGGAGTTCGTGAGCACTTTACTAGTGACTTCCAAGGAAGCAAGAGGAAAACTTGTAAAGTTCTCCATCATCACTGCAGTCATCTCAGATTTTAAAAACTGAGGAAGAAAGAATATGCCTCTGCGGCCACTGCTGGGAAACTGTATTTTCGGAGTCGACTGCTGTCAGATTATCCTTCAGTTTCCATGAAAGAGTCATCAGCTTGTTAAAAATTTCATTTAACTGGACATGACAGCACCCCTCACCAGCTGCCGTGTTTGAAATGTTAAGGATCTTGAAGCTTATTAGAGCTAAGGGGCTAAACAACAGTGCATTGCAGAGTTAATCCAATTCTCCTAGCAGCAGGATAATATAGAAATGGGTACTGCTAGTAAACCAGGCACATCTAAAATGACCTCATGCAAAAACACAGGTAGTGCTTTGGCAGGTAACAAGAACAGTTTCTGCAGAGCGCGTATTTTAAATAAAGTAGGAATACTTTTGGTAAATTCTGGTACCTTGGTTTTTTATCTTTAACAGTCCCATTGGGTTCTGCAGGCTTTCCATCTTGTTCTGTGGCCTCCTAGGTGTATCCTCACTATTTTTCATGGGCTGAGAAGCTAGTGAGAAATTATTCATCAATATGTTATCATAGATAAAAAAAAAAAGTCATTATAAATTATTTAAATAAGCTGTCTGATGTTCTTAGAAAATAAAATTGCAAACAATAAAACTTCCAGTAGCAAAGAAAATGAGTAAGAAGTGAAGATTATGAACAGAAATTTATACTTGGCAAGATTTCTGTTTAAGTGACAATGCAAACACATTTCTATTTTGCCTATAAATGTCCCCATTTGGGGAATGGAGAGCAAGTGTTTTATGTTACTAAATCAGTATTTATGCCCACAACTTCTAAGTCCCTCTTTGCCAGTAAAACTGCAAGGAGAGCAGTACTGTCAGTTCCATTTTACAGATGGAAAACTAAGGTGTTGAAAGATGTAACTGACTGAAGCCAGACATAAAACCAGAAAAGCTAAGTCTTTGAGAATTCAGACCAGTGCAAAATTCAAAAGCCACTGCGCCTGTCTGACTGAACACTAACACCCACAGACTGACAAGGTGACACCCATACCATAAGAACAACTACAGTTTCCCACCCTTGAAGCCTTTTCTGAACAGAACTTGGACTGTTTCATTTTTGCTACTGTCACCAATTCTCAAATAAAAAGAGGGGAAAAAAACCAAGCCAAACCCCAAATGAGCCAGAGATGGAGGTAACTGGCTGACCAGATTAACAAACAAGACAAAAAAACCTCACTCATGTTGCCAGTTCAGCACTTTGATGGGGAAATGCCACACACATTTGTGCTCGTGTTTACCAACAGGCATTTCTTAGTTGTGAAACATGCGTTAAAAATACAGATCAGCTAATAAACATGCACTTCATCTTCTCACAGCCAGGCAGCTGGGGAAGCAAAAGTCAATGAGCAGCAATGTTAAAGGTTTTAGTCCGGGTGACTGCTCAGCCCAGCTGTTTTAGAGATAAGTTTCTGATGTTCCAAGAATGCAAAAGATAAAGTGACTGAGAAGTCTGCATTAATAAGATAACAACACAATACAGACATGCTAAAGTTAAGTTGGAACTACAAAAAAAATGCCACCTGAGAAGCAGGAAATGTTAGTCCTTTTGAGCTCCTTGGAGCCATGGTTAGATTTCTGCCTGTAACAGCACTAGCTTAGAGCTAGGTGCACAGCATCTCTATTACTCTCCTACCTGCAGTGCTTATATGTCTGTATTTTCAGACCTTGAAAAATAGAGAAACGTAGTGTTTCAAGTATGAATGTAAGTATTATATGAAAATTTAGTTTTTCCTATTGCATCTACTCATTTTGGGGTCTTTCTGCCACTTCAATGTAATAAAGCAGCCCTGACAGCCTGGCTCCCTGGCAAGTCATTAATAGACATTAACAGACCCCGAAAATGTTCTTCATCCTCACACCTATTCTGTGAGGCAGGAAAGCTTATTTTTATCACTTAAGAGCTACACAGACACAATCTTACATCAGTATTTTCAGTAAACCCTAAGACTTTTCTATATGTGCTACAGGAACCACAACAGCTATGACAAATATTAGTATTAGGCAACTGTTTTGCCTGTTACTGCAAACATTGATGTTAAGCATCTCTACATTATTTATCCAACTAAAGCAATTTACCAGTGCTGTATGGAATTTCTCTTCTCTTTGTATAGTACATTCATTAGCTGCTACATTTTACTTCCAATTAATTTATCACAGAAGAAACTTTCTTTTTGAACAGAACTGAGACAGGCAGCCTGATGTAAGCAAGAACAGGCCACTTGTATGCAAGTGGGCCAGAGCTGCTAAAGCAGTGCTTTAAAATGAACCTTCAGTACATTATGTTTCAATAAATTTGCATACTGTAATTGCACTTCTGGAACCACAAATGGAAGATTAATCCCGTGTGAGCCCTGTACACTTGAGAATCATTAGTGTTCGAGTTCAGCAACATGGATGGATTCTGTAAGCGACGTATTACAAAGGTACATGAAAAAGCAATGCAGTGTGAAGTACAGATACCATAATCATAAACTGTAAGAGACTAGTGACTGACGGTGGGATTCCCCTGGTTTCTACAGAATGGCTGAATTTAACATACAGTTTGTAACTCACTCATTGTACTGGCTGGGAAGAGACACAGCCAAGCTCTCTGGATCAGGAAATGGGACTGGACTTACTTATCTGGGGGACTGCAGCTGCACCCTCTGGACAGCTGACCTTCTGTGCAGATGGTCTGTGCTGTGGTGAGGCACTGGAGCCAGCTGCAAGGTCATCGGGTGGAGCAGTTAACAACAAGTGTACTGGAGACTTTTCTCTGTGTCTCCGCTCCCGAGACATCTTCTTGGGGGCAGATGTATAGTGAGAAGCTGGTGAGAAGATGGACGCACCTCCTAAGAAATATCCAAGCAAAAAGCAGTGAGCACATACCTCAAAAGAAACCCGCATTCAAGCTTTGATGTTATCTCTGTAACAGTTACGGGGTTGAGGTCCCTCCATCACTGCATTCTTTCATGCTTTCATTCCTTGTTAGTAGCCAAGGTAGCAGGAGACTATAGCCTCTTCGCAAAATGCTTGTTTCTCTTAAAGTGATTATTGTGTGAAGAACAGCCAGTAAAACTGCCTAGAAGAAAGTAGCACCTACTTTTTCTGCTGTGTCTGTTGGGAGTATCCTAGTTGCTAAATCCCAACAATCCCTGTATGTTACTGCTAACTTGGATCTTGCAACTTAGGTATAAGAAGCAGAAAAAAAAAATGCTGCTTACATAGCTCTGCCATTTCCCTCCTTTCCAACAACTGACTGATATGCTTTGAATTCCTGGCAGAAAAGGAGTCATAAGGAAAAGAGACAAGATACACATAGAAATATGCAACCAACAGATTACGTGACATATTTTCATATGCTGGCACACTGTGTGCGTGTAATAATAAAAAAGAGGTTGTATGTAACTAATAAGGGGGATATTTACTACAGTTTTTCCCTTTTTCTTCCCATAGCCTGTTTCCTTACTCATAACACCCCTCCAGGGATATCTTGAAAATAATTTGGGGGGTTTCTAACAAACTCCCCTTGCTGAACTACATCTCAAGTCTTCTATGTAAAAAACACTACTTGCAGCTGCTTTGAAAGCTAGGAAAAATCCCTGGATGTTGAGTAGGTTTGCTAGAAGGCTGACAGTAACTACCCAGGAGATTAATACTCAAAAATATAAAAAGAGGACCTATAGTAGTTACTCCTCAGGACAAACAGAGGAGTTCTAGCCTATCCCTGGAGCACAGTGGCTTAAATAATAATAGAGAACAATTAAATATATGAGCATCTGCAGGAAAATTTCAGAGAAAATTCACAGAATGGATAATCAATGGGAAAAAAAAGAGAAGGTGGCTAAGTCTGGTATCTTCAAACCTTGATGCTCAAAGCTGTATCTTTCTACCTCTGCTTAGTTACCATATTTTAAGAGGTTCTGACCACCCAGTACTTGGAAGGAAATCAACAGAATTTGCAATGAAATGATTCCTCTCGAAAGTACATCTGTATTTAGATACCTGAATACAGAATTCAAGAGCCTAAATGTAGGCACCAAAAATGTGACAATATTATCCATAGTACACAAGACTATTGCTATTCATGAATAACTACCATGGAAGATAACCATTTTAGGTACAGTGATATCAACCTGCATGGACCGGGTTTGCAACAAAATACAGATTTTGCAGCAAGTTCAATAAAGACTTTGTAACAGAACCTGCTAGGAGGTATTTGGGTAATGACCTAAGAAAATATACTATATTTGGACTGTATTTTTTGTAATATTATTTAATGTTCCAGTTTGACATTGATATGGCACGTTCATCCTCAACTGCAGCCAGTGAAAACTTACCAAGAGATGTAAAGGGCAGGGTAACGTCTTGGGACTGAAGATCTGCTGTATGGAAGCATAAAGCATCCCTGCAAGCAAAATAATGGCAAAACTGGCATTCCAGAGGTATTATGCTATGTTTTGATAATACTAGCTAGCCAACACAGTGAGAATGTGAAGCTCCCCTATGTAATCTCCAGATCTTATACATGTAAAGTAAAAGCTAACGATGTAACGAAATTCCAGAGCTCTTTCTTAGAGGGATAAAAGTAACACTACAGCTTTGTTTTGCAATTCCCAGGAAGCTTTACCATTATAAATAAACCAATACAAACAAGCTCAGGGCTGACACTGTATTAAAGAAGCCTTAGAAACGGAATCTTAAATGAGTATTTTGAGAAGTAGGTTACTCAGCTGAGTGAAAGCACTTCTCACCGTCCACAAGTATCCTTCTCCATGCTGCTTTCAGTAGCAGAGTCTTTAGCTGCAGTTTCTCTGTACAGAAAAACACAACACTGTCAAAAACCCAGCAAAAGCCATGCCAGTAGGATTGCTACATTCACATTTTTAGAAGATAAGCTTGTTTCTTAAGCAGAGTACAATGGCAGCCACATTGTAATAGTGAAGAAAAGACATCATAAAATTGTTATATGACTCCACTAAAAGAAGTCTATTAGTACTAGAGGGAATTTAAGACTATTGAAGTAATGGATATCTCTGGGAAATAAACGACTAGATTCACAGTCATAAAGATGGAAAAAAGACAATAACTGCTTTAGACTACTAGTGCCACTGCAGTCTTCCTTCTGGTTACTCACACAACAATGCTTCTAATTAGCTTCTTCAGACCAGCCTCTTTTTAGCTCACATTTCACCTAATAGCACCAGATTACTACCATAACATAAATGCTTGCCTTTTCCAGGTTTGGACCTAAGTCTTTCCTCAGGCATTGTAAATTCTTAAGAGTACAGTGGTATTTGGTAAGATAATGGAAATGGATAATTAATTAAATTAAAAAAACCCCAAACAGCTAGACTCAAAAGTATGAGCATTGAGAGACACTTGGTAGTGTTCCAAAGAAGTAAAATCTTGCTGAATTTAATGTTGATCTTTTGCAGAACTGCTCCATTTCCACCAGGAGCTCTGCTATTCCATCTGTACCTACACCACCACCTGCCCTGCTAAGCATGCTTGAAGCACACAAAGTGCTATCTTTCTTTGTCATACTAAGCCTTCTTGCTCTTTGTCAGGCTTTTTGTGACAATCTCAGCTTTGGAATAGACAAAAAAGAATAAATCAAGTAAGAGTTTACAGCAAATGGCATCTGGTATTTGCCATCTTATATTCTGATATGGTAACTTTGGATACAGCACAACTTTGAACTAAGCACTGGGAACAAAAGAAAAAAAACAGTCATTGAGCTTTATCTCAGTTTTCATAGGAGACAATCAACAAAATCTTGTCTCTGCTGAAGCTACCTAGAAGCACATTGTTCCAGCTTTCCATATATCACTTGTATATCCTTTGGTAAAGGTCCTCTATTTAATTAATGAAGTATTTATTTAAAAGGAAGATTCTTAACTTCTACAGATTTCAGCAATGTCTTGTGGGTGTCACCACCATATTTTTCTTTTCAGAAAATGCCAATGTGATGAATGCCTTTTGGTAATCCTTCCCACTTATTCAACACTCATTTTGTAGTATATAAAAACACAGGCTTTGGAGATCAGGAACACAAGCCTGGCCAATGAATCTTACACACTGCTACTTCACTGAGCTACCTCAGAATTTTGATCTACAAGGAACTCGTAGTCTTCAGTAGAACATAGCACCAAACACAGCATCAAACCAAGAATACATAGGATATTGACCAATATGATTTTGTTCCAACAGTGTGTACGATGGGAGAAGTGTCATGGTTTAAATAAATTTGATTCTAATCGAAGTCCATTAATTATATTTTCCTTTATGGAGTATCTTTATGTTCTGGCTTAGACACATCAGAGTTTGTGCTGTATTGATTTCTCAGCTTCAGGTCATTATCAGTCGTTTAGTAACGACCTGCTACAACAACGAGAGGAAGGATATTTGCACACAGCAGAGGTAGAAGAAAGGAGTTCCGCATGAAAATAAAACTAGAAACACCAAAAAGTAAGCAATAAAGGCAAATGGTGTAGTAACCTTCTATTATGCTACCACCTAAAGCATCTGAGGAACCTCGCAAACAACTGAATCTTTGGAAGCTTTCAGGTTAACTCAAGCTAACTTGTAAACCATATTTTCTTGTAAAAAGGTTTGCTCCTGAGGCACACAAATAGCCAGATCCCAGTTTTAAAAGGCAATACAAGTACACAGCACATGACAGAAATAACACTCTTACATGGTTGCTAATGGTGATTTTCTCCCACCACTGCTGCCATCCTTGCCAAGATCCACAGAGGGAATATCATTGCCTGAGCTTGTTAATTCTTGAAAAATTCTCTTTAGATCCTGCAATGGTTCTTCCTTCAAAATTCCTGGCTTGGAAGACATCTGAAATAAAATTCAGTTACAAAGTAATTATAAAGGCGGTCTCTTTTTCAGTTCTTTCCTATACTCATCCAAAATCACATGTTTTCCCCCACTCTACTCTTGTCTTCCCAGTTAGAAACAGGGCAGATTTCTTGTCATTTTAGTTCAGAAGTGTTAGAGGATAGACTTGATTACGGGAAAACTGTAAAAATACTCTCTGAATATGACTGCACTCTTATCTGGAAGTTATCTGACAGCAATGTGTAAAGCAACTAAATACAACTGAGGAAGAACATGGCTAACATCGGCATTTTGAATAAATGTTGTAAAATGGTTATGACTACTGTTTCAAGGTCAAAAACACTAAAATAAGCCTTTCATTATGAAAGCTTCCCCCCCAGCCCTGTACAACCGTTACCTTTTTCAGTACGCAGCACCAGTAATCTTTGCTTATGTGACAACTCTGTTTGCTCCTTTCTGACCTGTGACCCCAGGTATTACTGTCTGGTACAAAAACACAGCTCTGAAGACTGAAATACTAGTTGTATCAAGGTGTTGTCTAGGCACTCATTTCTATCAGAGCTGAGCTGTCTGCAAATACAACCACTTCATTGTCACAGCTACGCTCTGAGATGAAGTGCAGTATTATTCTCACTTTACTGATCAGGACTCGAGGCAAAGGCCTGGTTCAAAGAATCCTTTATTGACAGTAAGAACTGGATTTTTCAGACTAGTCAGCACTTCTTATGTTCGAAGCACTGCTCCTACTGAGTTATGCTTCATCTGTGGATGGAACTGTCTAGAAACATTTTGGTAGCATTTTTTCATTGAAAAAAAAAATTACTTCCAATGGGAACACACTAGTTTCAACAGAGCTTATATGGAGAACAAGTCCTCAGCTTCATAACGGGTCAATGTGATACTGAGTCAGACCAAATCCATCTTTCCCAAACTCTGGCTAAGAAACCAGGCTATCGACCAGGTAGGGTCTCCTGTCTCAAGTGACAGAGCTGCTTCATTTTGTAAAATAACTAATCATGCAGGAACCAAGAAGATTCAAGTAAACCTTGAATCAAGTTCTCTTAAAACCTGCTAGGTTCTTGCCATGGTACTACATTAAAATCCTACTTTATCCTCAGAAGTTTACATCGATTAACTCAAAGTAAAGAGAATGGGAATACCTGATGCTGCAGGGAGTTTACAGAATTAACTCTCCTTTGTTCCTTGATGTAAATGTTTGTCACCACATCAGAAAGTAAAACAGAAAACATTATTGAAAAATACCTGCAGTAGGTTGTAGTCTCCTACAGATTTTGACGTAAAAATTAATGAAAAAACCTCTACCAATTTCTATTGGAGATACATCAGGTCCCTTTTGTAGAATGAGATAAAATCTATACAGAAAATACCAAGACTGTATTTTTTCATAAGAGATTTGAATTGATCTATTCTGTAATGAAAAACCAGAACGCTAGCATCTAAAGATGTACAAAAACAAAAGAAAGGAAGAACAGTGATGTGTCTTTTAGGATAAAACTGGTCATAGTGAAAGCCAGCTTGGAGAAAGATTTAAGTATTAAAACCTACTAAGGTGAATTTGATGGTGAAATTTATCAGAAATACCAGTCTGTTTTCATTGCCAAATGTAAGAGATTTAAGCAAGTAAAGTACTAGCAAAAAGAAAAAAAAAAGTGAAGACCAAACTGCTTATAGATCAACACCTTCAATTTTAATAGGTCATAAATGTTACTGGTGATAGAGGTAAGATAAACTCCTATTATAATCTACAGATTTTTTTATTGTCTGGATGGTTTTTACATATAAAAATACAAAAAGAAAGAAAATCTGAAAGGCCCTAGCATACAAGAAGCTACAGAAAATTATTTCATCTTTGGTGTTAAGAATTCACTCTTAGACAGTCCTGCTGGATACTCTCCCATTTATCAGTCACATGTTATTTCTGCTCTTTGGAACATCCCTGTTTCCTGTGCGGTTTCCCATTTTGGACAGGTACTCACTTGAGTGACACAGCTGGCCAAGTTCAGGGAAGGTGGCATGACCGCTGAGTGGAGATGGGAAAGGGGCACCATGTGCCGCAGCTTGCCTGAAGGAAAAGCTGCCAAGTAGCCTCGGCCCTGCAGCGCCTGTGGAAAAACATGAGCCAGGCAGAATAAGCAAGTATAGCTAAGCAGAATAAATGGGTATAGACATCATGCCCTCTGTAACAGGGCATCTCTTAGACAAATACCTTATAATACGCACCACTCATTTCTTGAACACTGTCTAAGAGTGAATTCTTAACACCAAGTGTTCTTTCATTTGAGTAACAGATTCCCCACCTTTGACACTGTTCATATGAAGTACTTACTGTATCACTGATGTAGAGTGGTATTTTGAAAATAACATTTTGTTTCTCACTCAAAACTAGCCATTGGGTTGGGTAACTAAAACTAGCAATTGGGTTGGGTAACTAAAATTAATAGTAATTCTGTTCCAAGTGTACCATTCATTTATAGCAGTAGTTTCATTGCAGCCTTAATAGTCTATAGTTAGAAGTAAGGCAAAGGTAAATAATATTCTCTATTAAACTCATTAGTAAAGGTAGAGATTGGACTGAATCTATTGGGCAATAAAAGTTCTGGGCTCTATGAGAGAGATACTGGCTTTTCATTAGTGCATGATTTTCCCTATACCCCATCTTTCACTATTGCTCTATAGCTTGACAGATGACAATTCCAAGTCTTCCTTTTTCTGTCCCAGATGCCTCGTGACTGTATTTCCTTTCTCCCTGCTAACATCTCTCCTGGCTTCTTAAACATGACTTTTTTTTGTGCTGCCTAACTAACTAGCATAAACAAATTCTCAGAGCCCTTGTATCCAGCCTTTATGTAGCTTTATGGTTGCTGGGTTTACTTCAGGCCTGAAGAAGGATGTGGGTGCCCCAAAGCTTGTTAGTGCTTTCTAGCTCTAACAGTTAACACTAGTAAAAGACATCCCTACAGACCTCTCCAATTCATTTTCCATCATAATGCCATTAACATTTCTAGCTTTTATTTGCCTAAGGCTGCAAGAAAATGATGAAGTGTCACTGAAACCAAAGCTTAGCATCTGAAGCATACGATCCAGTATTCCTGTAGCTATTGATTTCTTTTGGTGCCCTTACTGTACATAGCACTTCAAAGTAACTGAAATTATGGACATTGCTTGTGCAACAACCAGAGAATCACAGAATCACAGAATAGTTTGGGCTATAAAGGACCTTAAGATCATCCAGTTCCAAAGTTCCAACCCCCTGACATGGGCAGGGATGCCTCACCCTAGACCACGTTACCCCAGGCTCTGTCCAGCCTGGCTTTGAACACTGCCAGGGATGGAGCATTTACCCCTTCTTTGGGCAACCTGTTCCAGTGCCTCACCACCTGCACAGTAAACAACTTCTTCCTTATATCTAACCTGGACTTCCCCTGTTTAAGTTTAAACCCGTTACCCCTTGTCCTATTGCTACAGTCCCTGATGAACATGTAAAAAGAGGATTCAGAACACAAGCTTTTTAGAGCACTTAGCAATAAATAGGGTTAAACCTGAAGTTAAGGACACAAAGCAAATGCATCTAAGTTTATACCCGTGCTTCTCAGTAACATACTTACTTTTACATTGAAGGTATGCTGCAGTCTGAAGCGCATTACTTCTTGTTCCTGACACTGGATTATGCACTGATATTCTGCAAACTGCAGTGATGCCTGTAAGAGAGGAAAAAAGAGGCATTAATTTTGCTAACTTTCTGTGGATTACAGTCTTTCCTGTTTTCTTTCTGATAAAGAAACAAGGTACACATAGAGATGCTGTATTTATCTACTGCTATCAGTACAGAAATATTGCAATATGACCAGATGCCCTTCTTGAGACTTACAAAAGCAACTCACCTGTTATATGATCCCATTAGTCATAATATGCACACCATGATATCACAGAAGGGAGCTAATCCTTTCAGGGACAGTCCTAGACCTATTGAACACCTCTGGGATTAGGAAATTCAACTGTGCTAATGTGGCAAAACTCAAGATTTTAAAATGCATGGCTGATAACTTTGTTGATATGTCTTGTTGTTATATACTCTTTCCTCTTTACAAGTTTACCCTGAAAAGGTATGAAAAGATCTAATTATGGAGCTATTTTTCACAGAGGGCTTATCAGGATAGAAAGAAGAGAGGAAACCCTAGGCCAAAGCACAAAAAGAGAGAGAGAAAGAGCATGAACAAGTGTGCTGAATCAGGGTGTGCCAATGGTTGATTTCAGTGGAGCCCCTGTTATACTGAGTAATTGTCCCTCTCTCCACAGAAAGGAGTTTCTTTGTGCTAAAGAGCCAGAGGCAGGTCTAGAAGGTCAATCTAATCTGATTTAAATTCCCTGCAGCTTTTATTTCCCTAAAATAGTAAGCAGTAAATCAAGAATTCTCTTTAAGAAAACAGAAGACTCTTACCAATAAAAAAACCCAAAAGACAGTCTTAACTACAGATGTTTCTTCAGGTAAGTATCTTACACTACCTGTGAACAGGACATACTAAATACAACCTAGGTAAGAAGAGGTCAGACATTTTCTCTTCCCAAATGACTGTAAAGGAAGGTCTCACTGAAAGCACCTTAAATTACCTTATCAAGAGCTGTCTCCATCTTGGATATTTTTTCTTTCAGACGTTTGTCTTGTGATCGCAGGATCTCCAGTTCCCCAGCAATCCTGGTATTTTCTGCTGTAATATAGCTCAATTCTTGACCTAGTTTACTATTTTTTAATCTGAGGTAAAGCTTCTCCTGAATTTAAGATGAGGACAACAAAGTAGTCAAAAATTTTTAGCTATCTACATTATACATATGTGTTTTCTGCATTTTTTTTTCTCATTTACAGATCTGAATCAATCCTTTCAGAAGTTTAGCTATTGCATCTTACAGAAAGATGAGGTTTTGCAGCAAGAAGATAGCTTTAGAAAGAAACATACAATTGGACTGGTCACAATGACATAACATCTTGGATTTTAGATCCATTCAGAAGACTACAGAATGCATTAGTTGACATTTTTAAAAAGAATGTATACATAAAAGCCTGCTTCTCATTGAAACTAGTACTGTTCTTTTGCAGAGAATAACTATAAATTAAAACCAGTCTTTATGCAGAAGGCTTATTTATGTAAAGGAGATATTCCCTCATATATGTTAGGGGGAGGACAGGGAAGGTGCCCATTACATCACGTAAAATTCTCCTTGGTCCTTCTTGGGACAATTGTGCTTTGGGCCATGCATTTCTCCAAATAAAAATTTCTCTAAATACAGTTAAATACTTCTACAGGGAGCTCTTGTGACCTTAGCTGCATTTGTCATTGCCTCTTCCAAGAATTTTATCTTGCTCTGTAATACATCCATTTGCCCTCTCTTGGCTGTGATCTGCTTCTGCATTCCTACTGCAACTTTCATAGCTGTAGAAGACAAAGTTCATTCAATGAACAATATTGATTAAGCATTCTGTCAAAAGACTCTGGAAGTTGGTTATCAGCAATATGTTAGAATAAGTAAGTTGAACCAGGATTCCATAGTCACTTATGTGTGCAAACCACCCATTACCATTAGCTGGAGTTTTGTTCATGGTAGTGGCACTAGACCCATCACACTCACAAGATGAAAAGAGAGCATTCCCTGGAAATAGGCACAAAGACCATCTGAGGAAACTCAACTTATCGTTTAAGTTTTACAGTATGTAATAAAAGGTTAAATAAAAGTATGTTGTCATCTGCAGTACCAATTATTTATTTCACAAAACATCTGGAATATTATTATAGCATATATAGGATCAATACTTCGAAAAATCCTCTTGTTAAAAATAAAAATGTATGTGATTCGGGGGAAATTCAATCCATAATTACCATTGCCATCAGATCCTTCCATAGTCTTTAGAGCAGTCCTGGTCTGTTCCAGCTCCGATTGCACAGATTTTAACTGCATTTTCAGTCTGCTTGCAGTATTTTCCATCTCCTTGATTTTATCCTGGTAGTCCCTCTTCAAATCTTCAAATCCCTCTGGTGAGAGTAAGATTGAAATTATAGTGACAAAAAATTAGCATTCTTCTAGCCAAGATTACTGATCTCTCACCTACTCTCTTAAAAGGAGTATGAGACATGCAGATAGCTAAGACATAAAGCAAATAACTAACAAATGCACAACTAGCAGTTCACTGTCCTGCATGTCACCAAAAGATTCTGTTTCACCAGTAACAAATGTGTTCTTTGGTTGCTCACCAAAGCAACAGTTCAAGAAAGTGATACAAACCCATGTTTCTGAGTTCTGCTGCTAGACCCAACTGTATACAATGAAAGCTAAGGATATTGGTGAAAGACAGCATTTTGCCCTGGTCATTCTCTTCTCCAGCCACACTTTTAACCAGACTAAGGACTGAACTGATCTAATTTGTCAAGCATTCCCCTGCAACTCTGCTTCTCAGCTCTGTTCCCCTTATCTCTCTGCAAGTCCTCTTATGTCACCCACACCACTACAAGTCAGCCAGCTGTGAGCTCAGACTCTATCAACAGCTTGGCCTTAATTTCTCTGCGGTCATTCATTCCAATAAGCCTTTCCTAAAGCTCATTCACCCTGATAGTACTGTACAAACCTAAGGCAGACACACAGGCTCTGTTTAATTCTTACAAAACTTAGTAAATTTAGAACTGAGGACATACATGTTCCCAACAGGAATTGTATGAGAGTACAGGGGTACGTAGAGAGCAAAGCATGGGAACAGTATCATCTGGGTGGCTGCAGTGCAGATTTAATAGAGGATCCCCCTGTATTTGGGTGGTTGGCGTAGTTCCAGATCCTACTTTTGATTTTTTTTTTTAAATATTATCTTGATCTGCTTCACCTCACCTTAGTTGTGAAAACAGTGGAGTCATAACATAAAAACTTCTAAATAACATTGTAGCAAACCTACAACAAGACAGAAACAAAGTTCCACTGTAATTTGACCACAGACAGTTAACAGGATCCCCTAGTGCTCTTTAATAACACTCACAAAAAAGCAGTGAAGTTTCTATTCTGTGATTTACTACATCTGCTGCTTTGGTGTCCAGAGCCAGGCAGTTTAAGTATTTTTGCTCAGGGTAGTGAGAGATTGCATAAAGATTGCATTCCCACCACTGTGCCAGAATCCCAAATCACGACATAGCTCCCTGAAGTGACCTGACCGCCCCTTGCTGGCAGGGAACCTTCTGCTGTACCAGAAGCCGTATTTGGATTCAGCAAGCAAGCTGTTCTTTTTAACACCAGCCCAATTTAGCAGCTGTCAGAGCTGAGCCAAGATGGGGCTCCCTACCTGCAAGGCCAGCTAGCTCACCCCGACTGGCTTTGAGTTCATTCATTAGGTGGTCTTTTTCCAGTTTGGTATCATTAAGTGCATGGAGCCTCTCAGTGCAGGTATTAGCCAGTTTAATATTCTCCAGTTCCAGCTCACTCACTCTGGCTTCCATTTCATGTATTCTGGTTTCTTTCTCATCCTTTGCAATCTACTTACATAAAAGACAATGATAACTATGTGCAATATACATAATTATATAAAGTAAGCACAAAGATGTGCAGACATCATCATTACTTTAAATCCTGGTTGTCAGTGAAGAGTTTGGGGCAAGAAAGAATTCAGAGTAAAGCAGACGGATTAGTTCTGTGAAAACCAGTAATCCAGGCAAGAAGGGTGCAAAAGAATCTGATCTGATGGTTTACAACATGTTTAACCTTAGCAGGTGTATCATATGAAAATGATTTCCTTCCTTCTCTAGCAGCATTTCCATATTCACCCCTAATTTTCACAAAAGAGAATGAGATTCCCTGTCTGGAATGAATTTGTTCTGAAGATGCTGACCTGCATAAGACTGCCCTATCCTGTAATTCTTGTCAGAGTAATTAGCAGTTATGAACAGTGTCCTCAGTTTGGAATTCAGAGTGCTTACTGTGTATTATTTCTCAGTAACCCTTTGTATTTCTGGTTTTGTTACTGGTGTGGACAACTGTACCACTGAGGACAGCATGTTATATTCCAGCTTTCAGGAGTCTTTTGGCAACTGCTTTTTACCAGTGAATTATTAATTTTCAGTGGTAATGTGATAGCATTATTCTCTCTGCCCACTAACTCTTTTATTGCTGCTAGGATTCAAGGTGCATTGCCTGATCTGCTCTAAACCCACAGCATTAGCACACTAACACAGAGATTTAAAACCAGAAAACATTTAATGTACCACAAAGACATAAATATAGCATTGTTTGCATACCTTAAGTTCTTCTACTTTGAGTTTCCAGTCATCTATTTCTTTTATAAACTGGGATTTCTCAACTTCCATTGCTCCAGCAGCTCGACTGTATTGGCCTACAGTCTGTGTCATGTTATCAATTTGCTTTTGGAAGATCTCAATAATCCTTTCCTTCTCTGATATCTGCAGTTTCAGTGTTTCATGCTCTGACTGAACATCTTGTAAATGGTCCTCTTCATTCTTGAGATGCTGGAACTCCTGCATCCTACTGCTAAGTTGTGAATGCAGCTTCTTGATTTCCACACTGGTAACCTCAAGAGCTCTCTCCTTCTCCTGCAGACAGGCTGTCAGATTTGACACTGTTTTCTCAGCAATCTCCAAATCGATCTGCTTGGCTGTAAGATCTTCTTTAACCTTACGGAGTGCTTCCTTGGTTAACTCCAGTTGAATGGCCAAAGAGGAGATTCTTCCAATGCTTTCATTTTTTTCCTTAACTGCAGCCATCTGAATAACAGCAATATAAGCATCAAACAAGAGAAATGCTTATTTCTACCTTTAAAACTTCCTGTCACATTTCTGCTTTTCCAGAGTTCACCTTCAAACATCTTGAGTTTTACCAGAAAATTAGGTCAGCATGATCTGGTCTACAATGACCATGTGATTCTTCTCGTTTTCTTTCCTCTTTCTGCACCTTAATAAATAAAGTATTGCTTAGAATATTGGGGTTTTAATCACAGAAAATGGAAATGTTAAACTGATGTAAAAACAAAACAAAACAAAAAAACCCCTGCAATGCTAGTATGAAATTTAGAGCAGCTGAGGCAAAAGAACTTTATGTGTTAGAACTCGACTGACAGCACTGTAAGTTGGGGGGAAAAAAAGTATGTACATGAATAATTTATTACTGATTTTATTCCTGCAGGCAGCAATGTGCACCATTTGAAGCATAAAGTACTGTGACTCAGGAACTGCTAAAAGTACAAAACAGAAACAAGAGAAAAGAATGAACTTCCTGTGGGAAGATTTTAAAGGAAAAATAATGGATTGAGAAAATGTAGAAGGCTCTGTGAGACAGCACAAGCCTGTGGTTTGGTTGAAATATAAAGTAATTAGCTTGATCTTTACTCATAATGCAAAGAGGGTTACCTAATTACAGCCCATTTCTGAGAGGCTGAAGTCTTGAAGAAAGGGGAATGTACTACAAGTCAGTGTCTAGGAATCTACTTTGTCAGAATTAATTCCTTCTGACATAGCACTGCATTCAGGTTAGGTTTATAAACACAAATTTCATTATGTTTTTGTTAAGCACTACATAAAGTAAAGCATTATGAAGGCCTTTCATCTACCAATTATTCTTACAGAAAATACTACCTTCAATAGTTTGTTTGTTACATCTGCCAACATCAAACTTTCTGGAAATTTACACAAGGTTGTTTTAGAGGTTTATAGTCAAAATCAAGCACGCTATCGACAGAATATTCATTTTCTCCTAAGGCTTGTATGTCAAAAATCAAAATTAAAATAATGGTTCTACTTCCTCGTAAATAATAAGAAGTGAGGGCTGGACAGGTCTGATTAACAGGGAAAAAATGCAGATTTTGCATGTCATGTATTTGCATCTTTGCAAGGAAAATTTTGCCACCTGAGCCCCAAAGGTCTCCCACCCATGGTAACCAGAGTTACAGCACTTCTACCTGAAGTAAAGCTCTTTCTATCCTGAACACTATCACACCGCAGTTGCTCACCAGCCTGGTGCTCCATTTGTCTGTGACATTCAGTCCTCATTTCCTTTGCTGTGCTTTCCATACACTGCAATTGCTTGGTTTTGTTGTCTAATTGTCTCCTTAGATGGTAAATGGTGACGCTGCTGTCCGTGTTCTGATCCCAAAATCGCTTGTTCTGCTCTTTTTCTAGACTTAGTTCTATCTCTTTTTTATGAAGTTCAAGCTACAAGAAATTAAAGTCACCTCCCTCTTTGAATCACATTTAGGATTTTTTTCTTCTCTTAACGTCGGCAACATTCAATTACACAATTTGATACCTGAATAGGGACTGCTGTATGGATTTACACTTAGCAGAAGACAGGAATATTGGCTAAACTAGTCTGACACCTCTTACATGTCTTCTGCCAACAAAGCACTAAGTTTCAACTTCATATATGGCCGCATATGAGTTATTTTGAAGCATGTAACACCTCAACCCTTAAGTCTTTCATGTCATTTATATATCTATTCCAAAATCAGTGTAAGCTACAAAATTAAAAAAGATTTTATTGTGTCAATATCAAATGAAAAACAATGAAGAATATTACATTTCAATGAAGGCTGCTCTTGATAAATATCCATCTTTACTACTAATAAGAATTGCTCATTTCACCTCATGCAGCAATTTGCCACGTGTTCCTCATAGCTTAAATCTTTTCTACCTCAGATGTAACAGTCCATAATTGAAATTATAAATGGTAATTTAAAGCGTAAATAATATTTAAAAAATACTGACATACACATTTCAGAGCTATTCATACTGAAAACAGAAATTTAAAATGTGCCCAAACTGAATTATCAATAGGCATTTCTGCTAATCATAACTTGCTGTTGTTAACCATCTGCGTATTGTTAAAGCGGATGTAGAGAACCAAGTAGGAAGCTCAGAGAATGGCAGAATAAAAACATGAGCTGAAGACAGAAACAAAAGGAATCCTACATGAGATTCCTAACCTTCAATTATACAATGATTTTTCTGACTCATAGTCAGAAAAAAGACTCATAGTCTTCTCGATAGCTATGTACAGTCTGTAGGAAAAGATTTACACTAACATACCCTTGAGTAGGAGAAGGCTGTATAGAATGAAATTATTTCAACAACCCTTTCAGAGCACTTTGATGCTAACTAGACAAACAAACCTAATGAAACCACACAAACTAATATCCCAAAATTTAGTCATTAAGGAATAATCTTGTGTAAGAAGAAAATAAGGCTAATTATAGTACATGAAAGCAGTTGTAGTGAAACCAACCCTATGTGGCAAAGTTTCTTTATACTGTATGTTCAATTTGCGAATATTCTCGACCAGTTACAAAGGAGTGTTTAGTGCTATTAGGAAAATCCCAGATACGTCTTGCAAAATGTGTTAAGGGACCAAGGTTCTTCAACAGAGGGACCTTAACTGTGAGGTTAAAGTGAAGGTGGCTCAGAATCTTTAATATGATTTGCATAGGATTCAATGATTTTGTGTTTATGACAAAGTTAATCTTAATACAGGATGTCCTGCATTGCTAACAGCAAAGGCCTTTGGGAAACTTTCTTGACAGCTAATTCAATTTTCTAGTAAAAAATAATCCTCATACTTAATTTTAAGGGGGCTGCTGCACTTCATAAACAAGCAGTGAGCAAATCTCAACACCACCAGTAGAGAGAGAAGATTCTTTTCAATTCAATCACTTGTTTTTACCAACAACTGATGAATCTGGTTATTCAGATCTCCAGATTCTTGGCTGCTTTGATTCTGTCCTGTCTGAGCTTCTGCCATTTCAGAATGAGCTACGTGCAATTGCGTCTCAAGATCTTTGACCTAGAATGAAGAAAAATATTCATTAAGAATTATCTTAATGTATTCTATTTTAAATACTACATTGGATTTCTTCTACTTTCCTTCTAGGTTCAACTCAAAAGAAGTCCAAACATCATCTTTTAGCTCAGCCGTTATTCCTTAGGCGTATTCAGAACTGCGTTGTCTTTCAGATCAATTTCATTGCAGAGTTAACTGAGGTTTCTGAGAATGAACTGGCTTTGACCCTGATCCACAGCTCTTTAAAAACTCCTTACCTGCACTGTAAACATTAAACGGAATGGGAAAACAGCCACTTGAGAAAAAAAGTTCAAGCTCCTTGCTTGATTTGCAGTACTACTGGTTAGAAAAGCCACCATAATGCAAGTATAACTAAAACACAATCTATATGGAATCATTCAATGAGACTATATGAAATCTACAATGCTCTTCTAACAAGCACTTCAGGATCTGCAACCTCTCTTTTGGCTAACACCAAAATCTGGGCATTTCCTTTCTACTTCTTTAAAAATGTTTCTTCAGCTTGTGACAAAACCATTAATCTCTTTCTTCCTCTTCTGCCTCTCTTTCATGCATCTGATTATAATGATGACATAATTCTTTTTAATTACTAATGGACCATTTATGCAGGGTTAGTGCCAAAACATCAGGTCTCTCACCAAATGGAGGTTGGGCACATCAGGATGAGAAGATATTGTCAAGGAGAAGTTCTGAAGATCTTCTTATGAAGTTTTTCTTCCCCAAAGTTGGATAAAATAGTAATGTTCTCCTCCTAGAGCTCCAATGCCTAAGCAGCAGAAGGACATTTTGAGGGCCTCTTCTTCCTGTAATGGGCTTAGGTCCTTTCTGAAAGGGGTTCCTCTCATCTTGTGGAGCCCTCCAACAGGAGGAATCTCAGTAAATCCCAGGTTACTTCTCCCTGAATCCCTCCTTACACAACTACTCCATATTTCCACAGAAAATCTGAAGCTGAAGTACACCCTCTACAGAGCTCAACGACTGTGTACAACATTATCAACAGGGCTTTCTCAGATAGTGACAGAAAGAGCTGTCCTCACACAGGGCCCTTCCTATACAATTAAGTTAATTTAGGGAGAATTTGGTCCCAAGCATATATTCAGCCATATTCACTCTGTGTTTAATGATATAGTGAAGCTCTCCAGACACACTGAGGTCTAACAGCACGATTTATGCAGCTAAGGCAAGGAAGTGTATTCCTTCACTATGAATTCATTAAGGAATCTACACACAAACATGTTTTGCTCCAGGTGGTAGTCACCTTCTCTGAAAGGATGCAACTTCTGACAGTGTAGGATATTAACATAGGCATATGCAAACAGATCACTTACATATTTACATTTATATCCACTGAAGTACCACATTTTTCTGACTGCCGAAACTGTCTCATATGAACAATTTATATCAGCTTTAGTTTTCACCTACTCCCTTGAAAATTTTAGTTGCTAAGGTTTTTACCCCACCAGAGAAGCTGTGGAGGAAGCTGTGTAAAAGCAAGACATACATTTATAAAAGCTTTATTTAGATTCTCTCTCACACCTTCCCAGGAATGACTCTGCATAACAGCCTAAGATCAAGTTATCTCTCCGGCTATCAACTCGTCTCTCACTAAAGTCTCCCTCAGCAATTCAGTTTATTACACTTCCTTTTGAAAAGCAGTTTTTATTGGACAAAGTAGTATATTCTTTCATAGATATACAACCCCAACATTTTCTGGAGTTGGCAGACTGTGAAAAATAGACTTAAATTGATTCCCAGTTTCCAATTTTACATCTGTTACAAGGTAAGCATTCTGGAAGGGAACATGCCTACAGAGTATACACTACAGTTATAGCTATATACCTGATATGACCTTATGCTGTGCACTGCCTGATTTGAATCAGAAGAATTCAGGTAAATAAAGCCAACATGAGAACATACCATATATTGTACCCTTCCTTGAGGATGAGATACAGTAATAGAAATATATTTACAAATTCTATGCAGGTCAGTTATGCTGTAAAAAGTTACTTTTGGAACTGACTAACGTGAGTTTTAATACATGTCAATCAATGGGATTGACAGAAGTGGAAACCTACAGAAATGATAAACTACCATGTCCTTCCTGCTGTTTTATACTGCAAGTACACACACACACACACCCCCCCACCCACCATGGCTTCCACCCCCCTGCCATTCCATTCTCAGATGTTTTTGGACTGGAGACCATAAGCTCTGCCAAACTTCATGGAACTCCTGTGACCTGAACTTTCCCTTTTCAACAGTATGTTGGAGAAGGATGCCCAAATCCTCATGACTTGTAATCTAATATGGATTTGGATCCATCAAGCATTTCTGCATGGATCAGCTCCACTGATTTTTAAAGGGAGGGGAGAGTAACTCTTTTCAGATAATTTTCTAAAGAAAACATGAATTATCTTTCACCACAAGTAAGAAGGAACTTAAAGATATTCAAATTGTTTATAAAACTGGAAACAAAAGCAGTGAAATAACTGAAAGATGCAGTGGGTGTGATATAGTAATGGGATAAAAAATGCTGCAGTTCAAGACATGATAGAGATTTTGTGGTGGAACTGTAAGAAGTTCTCTCTATCTGCTGGCAGTAACTCCATGCTGTGCTACCTGGAAACAAGTTGGGCTGTGGGGAGCAGTGGGGTTAAAAAAAAATTTGTCAAGATTAATGTTTTCTAATGGGATTAAGAAATAGCTTGAATACAGAGGTGCTGTCCAGCCCCTCTTTTTTGCCTATATTACATCCTGCTGGTAAGAAGACTTTGGATTTCAATAAATGCTAAAGATTCTTAGCTCACAAATGGGTCATCTCTGGGCATCTGAATGCTTCTCAAGCACTGCTGTAATCTCAATGTCCTCCCATCCTTCCACTTACCAAGACAAAAAGTTACCAAAACATTTTTCTGGGCAGTACAAGATAAAGAAGAAGCTATGTTTACTGCCTGGTTTTGCTGATATATTCTCTAGTGATCCAGTACAACAATGTTCTTGTCCTGCATGTACAAGTGATGTTTGCAGTGCAAAATCGTTTTATTTCCAGAAGGTATCATTATGGTATGCCCTCAATACATTCAGCAAAACTATTTTGTTCAGTGAGTTTTGCAGATATTTTGTGTTAAAAGAAAGATAACTTGTTCTTAAAAGTAATACGAACAAATTGAGTCAAGGATGATGTAATTTATTCATTGTCGGCACAGTTTTTCTGAAGGAAGCCCTTACAAAAATACTTTTCTTGTATACCTGGAACATTTCAGACATCTACACATAGTTTCATTGGCACTAATACTAACACAGAAATCCATACACACCTTGTCTTCATATATCCTCTTAGCTTCTTGTAATTCAGAACGCAGCTGAGAAACTGTAGATTCCAAGCGACTAACTTGATCTGCATGCATTGAATTCTGATTTCTTGTTTGTTCTCTAAGAAAATTTTTAGGTGGAGAAATTAGAACCATGGAAGTACGAAACATCTTCTGGTTTTCACTGCAATCATTATGACCACTGAAACGTACTGCTTTGCACTATGATTATCACTAACAGTGGGATCACATAAAAATTACACTCCCTTACTGGTTAGATTTGCTCTCTGATATCCATCTTATATAAAATTACATAATTGAAATACTGCTGCTTTTTGTTCCTGATAAGAACTCATTTATTCTCAAGCAAGTTCTAAGAAAGCCAAGTCTGCTTTGAAATGCACCTGAACTATTCTACAAGCAGAACTGAGAAGCTTTTTGCATGATCTCAACCATGCAAATCAGATATTAATGCATACTCACATTTTAACCTCATCTTATGTTTGCAACACTGCATGGCATGTGTTCATTTTTTTAACTGATATATTGAGGACTGATTTCTGAGTCATGAAGTGGCTGATGAGAATGAGTGTCTTTTTATTCTTACTCAATTGTTACCAAAGTCAACAGAACCAAAACATCTATTTCTCCCAAATGAAACTACCCTCTCTTTAAAACTACTATTCACTGCTATTTGTACATGTATGCAAACAACCTAATTGTTTAGCCATCCTTGTTTGCGATTCAGCTGAAAATGCTACTGGAAATTAATTTTATATCTGAATCCATAGAACATTTAAAAGACAAGGTCACAGTGAAATGAAATAAGAAACCAAAACCGCAGGGCAGAGAGGAGAGTATACAAGCAGCATAAGCTTTCTCTCAAATTAAGGTTGCTCTTAACATTTTCTATACTATAATCACAAAACATACTGAATGATCTACATCTGGCTTTGGATATTATTTGCACCCCTGCGTGCACTGTGCTTTATCAGTCAGTGCTGCCACCTCCTGTTCATGCTCACTTACTAGCTGCTCAATCCTGTTTCAAAAAGAAAATACTCCTTATAATTATAATCTTGGCCAACAGTAACTTCTGCACTGAAAACATAATGATACTTTTCAGTAGCCAGAAATGTAACCATTTTGATGTTCAATTGTGAACGAAACGTTATGTATTGTGAACGAAACGTTATGTATTGAGTTACTGACCCTTTTATTTTGAACAGGTTACTATGTAATTCAGGTGGATAGCCGGGGAAATTAGGACTTTTTGAAGAGGGAAGGATAAAGCTCTTGGTGAAATTAGTAAGAAAAACTTAATGTAACTACTGAAGTGATTGCTTTCAATCTTTTCTTTTAACGGTGGAACTAGTCTCCAAACAAATTCTAGATGTTCACCTAAGCAGCCAATCACACTTGCAAAATTAAGGTGTACAGATTCTTCCAAAATACTAGTTTTTGACGCAGTGAATAAAACAGGAGATTGTCAGCATGGAAGGGAAAAGCAACAGAAAGTCAAAAGCAAAGAAACATCTGGAGTGGAACAATTATTAAGCCCTCAAAAACATCTTTTGCTGCCCCCCCAACCACTTCCCTGACCCCCCCCAATATCATCATCATCATCAAAGAACTATCTGTGGAAGATGTGAAAAAACGTCTATTTATGTTATACGAATAAATAAATGGAGAACAGGTACCTATTTTGGTGTTGCTGGAGCAGTTGGTTTTGGGTTTGTGAATCTTTTTTCAGTGACCCAAGTTCTTCTTCTACCTATTGCAAACAGATGACAATGTTAACGCCTACAGAAAAGACACTCAAAACTGTAGATTTCAAAGTATGATTTCCTTCCTTTTGCTGTCACCTTAAACTGTGAAACCAGCTGCACATGGTTAAATTCTGGCAATAAGCCCAATCTCAAGTTCAGGGCAGTATAAAAGGCTGGCAAACCAGCACCTGCCATCTTAACTGCAAAGTAGCATTTGTACACCTTTATGCCATAACCATTTCCTTCAGCTGCTTTAGATAGGAGGTGACGGAGTTATCAAAAACACTTTCTAAAAAAACAGAACATAAAAGTCTTGGAAGGAAAAGCATAACTTTCTTCACATACCAGGACAACCTTTTCTTTGAGGCACGACACCTCTGAGTCCAAATCTTGCAGGATGTCAGCAAGTGCTGTGCTCAGGCTGTGGATGTGTCGGCTAGTAATATTCTCATGGTCACAGAGTTTCCTGCCTGTGCTGTCTTCATAGCCCATGAGGATGCCATGGAATTCCAGAAGTACTTCCTTGTGGCTGTGGACTATCTTTTCCAGATGTTTAGTTTGGCTGTCAGCCTCCCTTAGAATCTCCTCCTGCAGCTGGCTGGCAGCTTCCAGCTTTTGAATAGTAGTTTTTAGCTGTATTTTGACATTCTCTTGGCTCTGTGATTCCTTCTGTCTGAATTGGGAAAATGAAGAAATAATTCAGAAAACAGAATTCACAACGTGGATTTTTATCCTGAGTAACAGGTATAATGTGTATGCTGATCAACTGCCATTTTTTTTACAGCTACATAATAAGCCATTTTCTAAACCAAGGTGCCGCAGTCTCATCATCTTCATTCCTGAGGGCAAGTTTCTCATTTAGAAGATGTGGTGTGCCTCTCAAAGCCCATATATACACTCCTCACAACACATCTGTCCTGGCCTTCATACCTAGCATCCTGAAGCGCATCTCTTTCCAATTGCACTTCCATCAGTTTGGTCTGCAGATCAGCAACAATCAATCTTAAATTGCTTTTCTGTTGCTCATGTAGCTCAGTAGTCTAAAGGAGGAAAAAAACCCAAACAAAGAAGCTAAACCAACCAAAATATTGAATAGATAATCACCACACCCTGCCAAAAAAAAAAAAAAAGAAAAAAGAAAAAAAGAGGCTGAGAGCAGGAAGGGAATGGGAATTAGGGGTTTTTTAATATTTCTTAGTTAACTTGCTAGTCACACTGTGCTGCCATGGACTGACTATGCATGGAACACTGTTACAATGATCCTGCCAACATAACTACCTATTGTCTATTTCTGTCTGTCAAATGGCACCTGGGAATCATGATGGCCAAGTACAACTTACAGCAGACAAGAGGATCCTCAAAACTGCTGGTGAAACTGTCCAAAGACTCAGCAATGACAAAAGCAACAAAAGCTTGTCTATATTTTAAGAAGCTGCCCCAAATTTGCAACTCACTTCATTCAGCCTCATCTGCGCATCTCTACCTTTCTGCGAGTATTCTTCTAGAATGTTTTCCGTGTGTTCTTTGCCAGCACCACTCATGTTTTCTTTCTCAGAATCAGTATGTATTTCATATATGGAACAGAAGTCATTATTGGGTGGACTGCCAGTGGTACTAGAAGAGGCTGAGCTTTTCATCACTGTGCTGAGAACGGAAGAAGCTAAAACATTCTGGTTGCCGAGAAATGGGCTAGCAGCACCTGAAAGGCAGATAAATTTAACTGTTGAAACAAAAGTCATACGTGAGAATAATCCATCATCTGCACAACTGGGCATTTGTGCCTCTTAGTGCCTAGCTATCAACAGTCAAACCTAGCAATCATCTTTTCTAAGGAGAAAAATCCAGTCAATTCCAGGGTTTCCCACTGGGTGTGTGAAACTGAGTGTTCAGAGAACACTTCAGAACTGCTCTGTCTTTACCTTGGGATTGTGCCGACAAGAGCTGTTCAACATACAGGGCCTGGAGAGGATTCAACTTGAAATACGTAACATGAACTTCTAAATCATGTAATAGTCAGCAACGTTCATAGTCATTTACTTCCAAATCTTCTGAAATCTATTTAATACTTGCCCACACCAGGCATATTGCCACTTGGTGAAGATTCCTCATGACTCAAAGAATGTATCACTGATTCCACCATGCATTTGGTGGTTTCCTCGTGGAGTTTCTGAGACTCTTTCGGCTGCTTTTCCAGTCCCTCCCTGCATAAAAGCACATAAATCATTTGCTGAAAAGGCAGGACAGAAGAGTATTCGACTGTACTGCATCACAAATGCAACCTGAAAGGAATAACTGAGAAAAGAATTGAAACCAGAGAATTAATTTGGTAACACTGTTGTACTTCCCTGATTTGCACGTATATTTGGCAACACAGCGACACATCTTCAACTGCTGCAGCTCCACTGTAGTCAACTGAACTATCACGTTTTGCCACTAGCAGGCCTAATCTATTAAATTCTAAAGAATTAAAGCAACACTTCACCAACAAACAGAATTAAATTGGTTTATCTTCTGAAAAGGGATTTCCTTTTATTTCCACATTTTTTCTCCTGTCTGGCCAGTAAAATAGTTCCTTACTGACACAAAGCTGGAACTGTATGGTCCATCAAACCCATGGAAATCTGTTAAATACTTCATTTGCAGGCATGATAAGACATATCTAAGAGAACTTAGACTTGAGACATGTTTGGTTGTATAAAACCTCAAGCACAGAAGGAAACCTGTACCAATACACAACATCTTATTTTACTGGAACTGATCGGGCATCAGATCATTTGCTAGATTCCTCAGAGGGGTTGGGGGGTGTGCAAAGAAAGCAGGCTATCTGCCTGCTAAAAAAAAAGTAAAATGAGTTTTTCTGATCAAAAGAGAAAGAAATCCATCTAAGTGAGAATAATAGACAAATTTTGGCAGTTCAGCTCTAAGCAGTAAAGAAAACTGTGAGGAAACATGAAGAAAAAATAGTTGAGGGACAAAGAGGAATCTGAAATTAAGGAAAAATAGTTTAATTGGCAAGTCTACAGTTGAGGGAAGACAATGAGATCAGCAAGGAGAGCAGCTCCCAGTCATTGGGCATCAGTACTCTTGTGTGTACATACCAGGACTGCAACATTCACAAATGACCCAATTACAACACGCACAGTTGATTTCTGCCCACGTGGCACTTCTTTTTCACAATGCAACAAGTCTGTCTGTGCACTGCACTTGTTATGCTGCCTCTATGCAGCTGCATTAAGGCATCCTGATAAACCTTGATTTTCTTTGTGCAACATTACTGATGGAACAAGATCAGAAGAGATGGAAGCAAGCAGAACTGCACAGCCTGGGGAGAAGCATCCTGAGTTTGTAACCCTAGAATTGGGAAGAAGGGGCAAGGGTGGAAATTCTATCAACACTGCCCTGTTATTGTGGAGTATATCCTAAATGCATAAACAGGTTAGAAAATGACTACACAAATACCAAAGACTAATAAATTTGACAGCTGGGACAGACATTTAGATTCAATAAATCTTTACATTCCAATTGCCTGGACACTGAGATGTACTATGCAAAAAAACCACTTTTTCCTCACCATTTTTCTTGTGACATCTGCCACTACCCACTGTTACAATGAGCACACTGGTGAGATGAAACTTCAGCCTGATCCACCAGAGTCTGAGTGAATCAGTAAATCAAAGCTTTTGGGAGAATACCATCCCAATTCTTCTCAGTTAGCAATTAATTTTCAAATCATTAATTCTCCTTCTTTGGGAGACGCTTTCAAATATTAGATACATACCTGTATATAAAAATCACTAAATCCAAGCACTGCCTTCTGGCAAAAAAAACCCCACCCAACACTCTGAACAGTAAAACTCACAATTTCACAAGCACCACTCCTCTGAAGCTGAATGACTCTGAATCTAACAGTAGGCAGAATCACAGACCCCTGCAAATTAATTTCAAAAGGCAGTACTACATACTGCTCTTCGTGCAGAAATCCCATTGCCAGTGAAGAACTCACCCCACCATGGATACAAATTCAGCTGTTACCCCAGCACACAAATTACATTGAGCAGTGTAGTTCATCTTTCACTGCAGAGTGCATTGGGCACCCATATCCTTAAATTTTGTCTTCACAGCTTCCCTGCCACATTATTATAACAGACTATACCTTAGGAATCTGCTGGTTTCCATTTTCAGTAGGTGTGCTGTTTACTGTAATGACAAATAGCAGGTACAGAAGTTTATCTAATAACAATTAAAATCTGTGTACTACCTTAATTCCTGGATATTCTCGCTCATTGTAACAGCACCTGTGGCGAAAGAGATGTCTATTTTCTACCATATTAAAAATCAACTTTATGTAATAAAAATCAATTTTCTCACCTAATTTTAAAATTGCAGGAGGAATTAAAGGACATTCATGGAGATAGTTTCTCTACTTTTTAAAGTCCTATGCTTTGTTTTGCAGGATGAACACAGATGCAGGCTTTTCTAAGTACCTGCCTGTTAAGTTTTGCAATAATTAAGTGGGAAATCATATCCACTACTACTTTCCTATGATGTCTCCAGATACAGATTTTTCTACACGAAACTTAAGACGACATTTCGATAAACATCTGCAGTGATCTTGGCTACAAATGTTGTCTATGCCAACCTACTCGATTAAAGCCAAGTGGATTTTTTCCTCACCAATATGCTAAAGAAAAGAAAAGCTTGAAGCCTAGGGCAAGTCTAGACTTGCATATCTTGAGTTTTGTGAGTGTGATTGCTATTAGGTCCCAGATTACACAACTAATTCGGGGGGGGGGACAACTCTGTGAACCGTTTCCTCAGGGGCAGTGGGGAATTAAAAAAAGCAAAAATGAAGAAAACAATTATTACTGTGGGGTAGCTTTGAGCCACATGGTGTTTGATGAGGCTTTATTTGAGTTATTTGGATTTTCCTGGGCGACTAGTCCTCTGGAAGACATGGGACTACAGTGTAAATCAAGACGTAGCTGTAGTAGCAGTTTCCACACCATGGACAATTTAACACCTTCAGTAAACCCACTGGACTGAAAAAGACCACCGTAGGTGCTTCCAAAGGGCACATAACGGAGAAAGCGGCATTCTCAACTCCAGTTCCCAATTCTGAATACCAGAAATACCTCCTTAATGGGAAAACATTGCCTCCAACCCTCACACAGCAACCCCTGGAAAGTTCAGCTCTGCCACGATGACAAGAACTTTTCCTAAACTAGGGCTTGCTTTGCCATTTCCCCTCCCCGGCCGCGTTCTCCTGGAGGACAAGGAAGACAAGGCTGGCTGTGGATCTCCCCACCGGCGACAGCGGCGCGGACCCGGCCACGAGCTGACAAAATGTCCGCCGCATGTAGCCACCTGCCTTTCCGTGGCGGGAAACGAGGGACCCCTGCGTGTCCCCGAGCGGCCTCCCCCGCCTGCACAGGTCTGTTCCAAACCACTTTAAAACCTCTATCAACCCTCCACACCGCCGCTCCGAGGGGCTTTTTACCTCAGGAGAGCAGGCACCCGCTATTCCATCCCC